AAAGGATGACTTTCGATAATTGAGAAACCAAAAGTGAGTGCAGCCACATCCCAAAATTTTGAAGGTGCGTATGAAATGTCTTCTTTATACAATACCATTTTGTTGGTAATGGGTGTGTGGTGGACAGGTAAATCGATGCATCACGATATATTAAATCATAAAATGATTAAATGAAGCAGAAAGGTATCCTATACATCACTGTAAAGCCCAATCTGACCCAACTACTTACCCATTGGGCCCAACCAAGAAAAAATTTCCTTCAATTCATCTTGAGGATAATGTGATTCTTCTGGGGAGAGTATTGTTAGGCATATTATTACTAGTAAGCATTATAATAAATGACCTGAAGTATGCGGGGCAGTCATTAGAACTAAAAGTTAGTTTTCAGTCTGGTTAGAAGTTAATATGCAGTTTAAATAAACAGGGAAGTTTGGAAAGTAGACAATTTGACATGTGTTGATGTTTGACCCCCGTATGGCACAAACACGTGTAAGGTTGAAGGTGTGTCTGTGTGTTTGACATGTGTTGGTGTTTGATCATGTAGTTATTTATGCTCAATCACTCCCATTTTCTTAAATTATTAATAGTGCTTACATGTCAGTATCGTTGTTGTGTTTGGTTTGTGTCTGAGCTGGTACTTCATAGATGATAGAAAAGGATGCTGAGCTTCCTAGAAGGATGACACGACAACAAGAAGCAAAAAACCAGACATAAATACAACTTAAAAAGCATGATTGACTTGTTAATACAAAGAACCAAACAATGTGAGTGAAAAAGACAACCAAACGATTTGCTTAAGCTCACTAAACATAACCTGTGATACTAACTTGAAATAAAAAACTGATATGCTTGAAAATACTAACTTGGATATATACTAAATTTGGTACAGAGTTAAAACCTTCAACCTTAGGGATCAAACTCTAGCAGATGCAGCAACTTCATATTCTAAAGTATATGTAGAAGTGATCAAATCACAACGTACAAGGAAATAACTAAATTAGGGAAAACAACGAAATAGGGAAACTTCAACAAATATAAATGGTTGCACATATCTAATAGAATCAAATGATGTGCTCAAGATAATGCAAAATAAACCACAGCAATAAATAAACAAGCATAAGGCTAGAGAGCAATGAAATGTCAGCAAGTTGATTCTATAAATAGAACACATAACCACATTAGGCTGCAAGGCTTGATATGGTCAATAAGGTAACAAAGATTTTCTTAACTCGAAAATTAACTTTTAGTCATGCAGACTAGATTGATTCCTTTAACAACATGCATCTTGGTTTTGGGCAAGGCAAAGCTTCCTACGATGTTTGAATTATTGATTGGTCTCGTTCATAATGATTAATTTATATACGTTAAAAGTAGTAAAAACTTACATTGGAAAGCCGAAAGGGGCAAAACTTGGGCTTCCCCCTTCTTCCGTACTTAAGCAAACAAGCCCCTTTCTTTAAAGCAGTAATTGCCTGTAGTTAAGATATATAAAGTCGATCAGTATAATCCCCACAATAGACAAGCACCAAGGGTAACATGCTTAAAGCCCCAAATTCCACATCATACTACAGCAATAAACTGTGCACATCAATCAACATAGATGAAAATTAAAAAGAAGATTTACATCAATATGATCACAATTCAACACCGTTTTCTATTTTGTAAATTTTTAACATATTTAGTCCCCTAAAGAAGCATAAATGCTGCTAGAATCTTGAAAATACTTCGGACAGCTATGGAGCCATAAGCTTTCTACATAAACTGTTCCTTCTTATCCTGATTTACCACACAGAAGCAGCTCTACAAGAAAAGACTCTAGGAGACAAGAAAAAACAAGATGCAGTTGGGCACAGGAAAGTGCCTCCTTCATATCCAGTAGCCTTGTCTTACGGCTTGAAAATTAATGTTTCCAATTGAAGAGAAAGAGAGTCTCTAGTAATTTTCATGGTCAAATTTATCCGCTACAGGGTTGGGTTAATCAAAGGAATAAACAACTAAGATACAACAATAAGAGTCCAAGCCTTCTTCACACTAGACGGGGTTCACTACATTAATCAATCAAATGATATCACTGTATTAGTCCAAATTTAATAAAGGTAGCACAAACAATTATACCAGTTGTGTCCATATCTTATCCATGCAGTATAAATTTATTGTGCCCTTGAGATTGTCTTAGTCAATGTAGTCAAGCACGACATCTTAAATAGGATCGGTCGGCTTGTGAAAGATCATAAAACTCGGAACGTTAGCACGGCACTTAAGATCCGACAGAAGGGAAAAATGGTAATTTCATACATACACCCTAAGATCACTATTACTATAAGCAAAGATTCTATTTTCAGGAACATTGAATAATTTATGTATTTGGTCTATATATATGTCACGTACGTTAATTATTCAAGAAACTTCAAAAGATAATATTTGCCTATAATAGTGGCCAGAGTAGTATATATATATATATATATACACACACATACACAACACAAACACATGTGAATTATAATACAGCCCAAAAAAAAAAGCCCCTACACGTTTTTTTTTTTACGATATTGCTTCAAAAAGCTCGATTTTGACCACGCCGGCGACGAAAATGATTTTTCTCTTATCGTAGCACTCTCAAACATCCTTGGCACGTAAGATCTTACGATCCATCACTCGATCTTGACTACATTGGTCTTAGTTCTATTTTGCAATTTTTATTTCTAATTTTTAAATAGAATACCACAACGATTAGATGAACGACAGCATTCTATTATGTCTATAATGACATGTTTGTTTTAACTTAAAATATTACTCTCTTTCAATGTAAGACTCGTGTTTTATATTAGTTTTATACTTGTGTGTTTTATTATTATAAAAGATACTGTTTTATAATTTTAAAATTTTGTCTTATCCACATTTCCTATGTCGCATATATACTTTCTAGCATTCAACTCAAAATCTTCTTTTATGGTTTCCCTTAGAGTATTTCATGGTCTACCTCAACCACTTAATGTTATGCTCTCTTCCAACTAATTAACTCTAAATTTTCACCTTTATTAGTCTTTTTATCACAAGCTCAAAAGCCATCTTTGGTACATTCGTACTAACTTTGCTAAATATATGGCATTTCAACTTTCTCCAGGATACATAATCCTGGCATAAAGAGCCAGTAATAATGCCAAAGATTTAGTGATTAACTCAACAGCCCAGTGCACCACTTCACCTTGTGAACGATGAAGCCAAGTTACTCCAAAATTGTGTAATGTAACTATTGGTGTGTACGCGTATCCGATACCAATATGCACGTACCCGATATCAATATGCATATGATATGCCAAGATCTGTTTGGGATATGACTTTGATAGGTTTGGAATATTGTTCAAAGAACATGCCTTGAAGCTTGATGTACAACAGTGTTCATCATACTGTGAGAGGAAATGAAGTTCGTAGTCCTTTAGTAATTCTTCTAAGAAAGACAAAATGAATGCGGAAGAATTGGTTTAAGTGCTTTTCAGAAAGGATATATACACTCCTAAAAGAGAGACAAGGCTGTGGAATATTGGTGGAATTGTACATGGCCCCAATCTGAATTACCTTCTAATTTATCGAAGATTTTTAATTAAAATAAGTTAATAGTTCTTGACTAATTAAAAAGTCCTTATAAGTTTGTATATTTATGAAGAATTTAAATGATAAGAGTTCCCGGGAAAATTGAGGTTAGTTTTTAAGTTAGAGAAGTTATATTGTTTTAAAAAAGCATAGTTATTGCAAGATTCTTTTAGTAATTCATTTTCCATAAGTACATCTTGAGAAGTTTAACTAAACCAACTCAAAGATCCAATATGTGATGGTGTTGAACTCCTTGAATTGACAATAATCTCTTGATGAACCAGAAAAAGAAGTTGAGCTTTTTTGGATAATGGGAAACGGGGTGACAAAAATGATACAATTTGTATACAATCAAAAGTATATGATAGACAATTGCATATGGTCAGGACTTTGTACAAGACAAATAATACTTTCCGCGGACTTAGATATGTACAATGTGATTATTTTGACATCTTTAGAGATGAAAGAATGTACTTAGATATGGACAAAAGAAACATACGGTGTCTATGCTATTTAGTTATGATCACAATTATACTTTTATAAAGTGTAATCATCATATACTGATATGGTTATATATTAATGAACAATGTCAATGAAATCTTCATAAACAAAACACATTAATGTATTATAGACACATATGTGCACTGCATGCATGCACACATCCCCATATCATATCTAGTTTGCTTTATACCTTAGGTACTAACAAATTTGTGTATTCTCCTATCTATGCCATATAATATTCATATTAAGTATCCAAGCTTCATAGAACAAAGAACACTACTAAATTAGGTTGCTCCACATGCACCATATCACAATAGTCCTAACATTATCATAAAACATTTCAAATAATACATGCGGTAAGAGTACACAACTTAAATCCTAGTACTCTATCACATAATGTATACAATCTAAATACGAGCAGTATTATATCGTGAAATGCACAGAGAAACAGAAAACCAATTCTCATGCTAGAAAACATGGCTTTAAATTGTGGGCAAATATGGCTGCAATATACAGTTTTAGATGTTTCCACAACCGCATTTGACCACATTTTGACGCAATTTAGATGCTAGCATGGAAGTTGCTATGATACCCTTGTATTATCGGTTATTGTTATCCTAGCTACTAACTAGAGTAGTTATCAAACATTTATTGGCATTATTATTCATACAATAAACAATCAAAAACCTAATGAATATAAACAAATTGAATTCAAGTTTTCGAAGATTGTAGCCAAAAATAGATACCTGCTCAATGTCTCTTTCAACGGTACCAGTTCTATTCAGATCCGAAGTAGTTGTAGTAGTAGTCGTCATCATAACAGTATCGGACCGTGACATCACTCAATGCAAGAAGAAGAAGAAGAAAAATCACAAACTATTATCAAAAGTCAAACACCAATCTCCCACTCATTCACCCATTCTCATACCCAAACCCTTCCATTTACCGAATAACAAACCTTCCAAAACCGAATTGACTACGGTCCACGAAGCTAAGTTTTCACACGCGCTCAACTTCATAACCACCACCATTAAAATTGAGCTCCTGCACTGTTAAACACCAGAAGATATTTCTAGGTCACGAAGAACAACACACGATCAATGAAAGATGGAAATACTCCACGGATTCCAGCGATTGATTGATCGCTGATCTCGCGGCGGTGCGGCGGAGAAGAAAACGGAACGGAGAAAGTGCGGGAATGTAGAAACGGGGAAAATCTCCGAGGAAAGTGTGATCTGATTCTGAAGTAACAGCAGAGAGAGAGAGAGAGAGAGAATTTTCAGTGTTGTGTTATTGTGTGTGAATGGGCGAGAAGTGAAATGGAAAAATAAAGAAAAAGAAAGAAAATAAGCTGAGAAAGGGAAAGGAAGAAGCGGCGGAGAAGATTGACCTCAGTGTTGAAAAGTAATAACGGTTTTGCCACTGAAGATTTGTGTTTGATTGGGTGAGGGTTGATGAGAAAATCGAGAATGAGTGGAAACGAAAAACTCGGAATTGACAGTAGTAATAAATTCCGAAAGAAATGATGGAACCTGGTCATCACTGAGTCAACGATGCGGGTATACTCCTCACAATGATTTAAACGTATAGTATTTTGAATTTTGAAATTAAACATACACTTTATTTTAATAGTAAAACATAATTATACACTTTTAAATTGTTACAAATTTGGTTTTAATTACGATAACTTTTATGTTACTAATTTACTTTAAATTCATTAATTAAATATTATTTTTAAAATAAGAGTAATGTTAACTTGTGACACGTTAAGAATCTCTCATAAATGTAAAAAGTTTTAGTTTGAAAATATGTTTTAATTTGATTAAAAAAAATTTATTAATTATTTTTGGATTAGTCCAATGATTAAGATTGGTCTAATCCGCTTTTATCATTGACATGGCCCAACAACGTTGCTCCAGCATCTCTAGTCGATCGTGTTCTTGAACGGCATGACCAACGATGCCCGATACTCGCATTTGTTTGTCATCTCATCCTTGCTCGATGCAACGGTTAGTTAGGGCCACGATTGTCCGTTTTGACCAACTCCTAATAATTATCTATTTTTGCGGACCCGCATATCTAGGCCCAAAAATAGGGATCAATGGCCAAGTGTTGGGGCATTATATAAACCCTCACACATGTGAGGGTCAGGTATCCAATATTCAAACCTAAAACCCTAATATCTTTTTTGTATCTCTTTACACTCATTCTTACTTGATCGTCAGAGTGTCTTGCAGGTACAACCCCATTTTCTCCTCAACTTTCCAGCCAAGCAGACGTCATCCTTTTGCCCACTTTCAGGTTCTGATCACCCGGTAAGATCAGTCGCGCCGTCTATGGGAAATTATTTATCATGTCCTCCTTTTCCTCAAAACCAAAGACCAAAGATACATTCACTACTTCAATCATGGCCGACCATGATGATCATTACCTCTTTGGAAATACTGTACTCTCTCCCGTCCACAAGGCCGACGGAAGCCATGAGTATCCTCACCTCGAGGATGACCTCGACGTTAGAGATGGACAAATAGTATCTCCAGATTCAGTCGACATCGAGTGGGATAACCTTCAGTTCTTTGACGAGCAGAGCTCCAAAAACCTCCACTGAGGAGCTGCCAGAGATCATGCAACCAGTTCATATTCCTCAGAATTTTGATCTGGCCATGGCAGCCCTACTCGCTGCCCTCAACTAGACCAACGCCCTTATCCTGCAGTAGAGCAAGAGGATAGGGGCCTGGGAGAAGAAGCAGTCAAAGTCTCCTCCTCAGAGACACCGAAGATACGACTCCCCGACCTTATCTTCACCTAGGCGTGGTCGTCCAGCCAGAAAGGAGAAGCAAGACGTTTCTTTCCTCAAGAAATGCAATCACACACCTCCCCGGAAAGATCAAGGCTCTTCATCTTTCAAGAAGACAAAGAGCGATCATCGACTGGACCGCGACTGTTCATTATCGCCCAAGCCAGGGAAGCAACTCCCCGCCGGGATAATAGCCCCCGACGAGGGAGGAACCATCATTCCCCGCCAAAATCTCCTAAGGAAAGCGACGGTGATGAGTCATGCAGCCCATTATCAAGAGATATCATGGAGACCACGCTCCCATCGGCTTGGAGAAACCTCCTCATTAGGAACATACGACGAAACCATCGACCTTGATGAACACATCAAAAATATTGATGCGTTGCTTGACTACAAGGGAGTTCGTGGAATAATTAAATATTGGCTTTTTCCTACAACGCTCAAAAAAGGAGCCATGACCTGGTATAAAAGCCTTCCAGACGAATCCATCACATCATGGAAGAACCTGGGAAGACAATTTTCCAGGCACTTCACAGCATCTCGCTGACACACAGGCGTCTTTGGAGGCGATCATCCAAGGGAGTGATGAATCACCCTGGGCATACATCGAGTGCTTCAACAAGGAAGTCATTCAGATCTCTACTACCGACGACATGAAAAAATACCTCCTCGAGCACGGGCTCCATCCCCGAAGCAACTTCGCCAAAGTCGTTAGCATCGAGACTCTAGCCAAGCTCGACTCCCTCCTACTCAAAGCCCAAGCGTATATCTAGTGCAACGAAAATGAGGCAGCTAATAATGCAAGGGACTCGCGGCATAGGGAGAATGCCAAGGTCTCAAAGAATGATGAGCCCTTGACATCCCGTCAAAGAGGAGAAAAGAAGATGGAGGATAAATCCTGAGATTCTAAAGACTGTTGGAGGCTAGCTGGTCGCTTCCATGACTACACCTCATCAATGCTTTACGTGAGCAGATTCTGACATAATGTGTCAATTCAGAGTTCAAGCAAGTTGGGATATGCTTTCCCATCCAAACATCGTCCAAGCCTGGGACAGACAAAAGTAAATATTGCAGGTTCTACAAAAGTCACGGGCACAATACCGATGAATGCATCCACCTAAATAATGCTATTGAGATATTCATCTGGGACGGGCATCTCAAACAATACAAGAAGAATGAGAATGCCCGCGAAGAAGCTCGAGAGTTCAAGAATGTGGAAGAAGGGAAAACTCCCCCGACAAAAGCCTCATACATGTTGCCCTGAGCATCACCGGGCCCGAGGACTTCTACTTCCCCGACATGGATGAGGTCCCTTTATCTTTCACAATCCATAGCCCCTGGGAGACATTTCTAGCGGTGATGGTCATATCTGGAGGTGGCTTTAACAAGTGCACAGCAGGCTTGGTGAAGGGAGGTTCGAGCAACTCATTGACGCCAGCTCCGAGAAAAGTGCCACCCTCGACAAAGCCAGGGGAAGATTTGTCCCCATTGCCTTCTATAGGGAAGAGTTTCCTGACGGGGCCCCTAACTCCAGTATTCCTCTGCTTGTAAGCTCAAGAATGGCTAACTTCGACGTCAAGCGAATCTTGGTCGATTAAGGCAGCTCGGTGGATATAATATACTCCCAACTATTCAACACTCTACAACTAAACGAGACCCACCTGACCCCGTATGTTAGTTCAGATCTCCAAGGATTCAAAGGCTTCGTCACCAAGCCTTGGGGGTACGTAGAACTAATCGTCACATTCGGGGCAGCCCAAAGAAGAAAGGGGGAAACAAATCGGTGATACAAAAAATTATTTCTCGACCAAGCATTTAAAAGCCTTCCGTGACTCTAGACATGTGCACCATAAGAGACAGCAACTGTTGGATGACCCCGGTGTACAACTACCTCACAAAAGGAGAATTGCAAACCAATCAAAAGGAGGCTAGCATGGTCAGGAGAAGAGCCTGCTCCTACGTCCTAACCGAAGGCAGATTATACATAAGGGAATTTTCCACCACCCCTCAAATGCGTTGATCAGAATGAAGCAGCTCACGTGTTGCACGAGATCCACGAGGGAATCAACGACCAACATTTAGGCAAAAGATCCATTCCCAGAAGCCATTACGGGCAAGATATTATTGGCCCACCATGCAGCACGGCGCCAAAGAGCACGTGAAGAAGTGCGACAAGTCCCAACGCCATGGAGACATGCATCTGACACCACTAAATGAGCTTAAATCCATCTCTTCTCACTGGCCCTTCGTGTGGTGGGGCCTGGACCTCCTCGGACCATTCGTGGTAGGATCAAACAAGAACAAATATTTGATAGTGGTCGTCGACTACGTCACCAAATGGATAGAAGCATAAACATTAGCCAGAATCACCACACAAAACATTCTTTGTCTCTACAAAAGAAACATTCTTGCTCAGTTCAGCATTCCACAAGTGATTGTCACTGACAACAGGACACAATTCACGGACAAGAACTTCCAGGAATTCATTGTCAAGTTGGGCACCATCCAACACTTCGCCTTTGTCGAACACCAGAAGATAAACGGGTAAGTCGAGTCTACAAACATGGTGATTTTACGGGGCCTCGTGCGAAGGTTGGATGAGACAAAGAAGAGATAGGTTGAGGAGCTACACAATGTACTTTGGGGATATCAGACAATAGCTCACTCATCAACTGGGGAAACTCCCTTCCGGCTAGCATACAGAAATAAGGAGATGAATGATGTTGCATTGAGGGAAGAGCTCGATCTTGTCGAGGAGATTTTAATAGGAACGGCCTTACGAGAAGCCTATCTCAAACAAAAAATCGTCATATGATATGATGCCAAAGTTATACGGCGTGAATTTGAAGTCGGCAACCTAGTCTTAAAGAGAAATAACAAATAATCTCGTGAAGGAAAGCTCGCCGCAAACTAGGATGGCTCCTACCACGTTCATGCAAATACGGGGTACGAAGCCTATTACCTAGAAAATATACATGGGGAACAACTCGCTCGACTTTGGAACACCGAAAAACTAAGGAAATATTACAATTAAGACACTAATATAGTCAATGTGGCTCGTCAAAACTACGAACACACCTTTGCCTGACCACATGTGCATGTCTAGGTACAAGCATGACACTCAAAATTAAACAAAGAGACAAGTTTCCACTCTTTTGACGAGCAGATTCTTAGCCCAGCGTTGAAAACTCGAACGAGCTCAACCGTCATTGTACCACGATGGTAGAACACCTAACTCCCGATGGGAAGTTCACGCCGTTGAGCTCGGTCCTTGAAAACGAGCCCCGAGTTTCGAACCATGCCCTAAAATTATCTCGATCATTTGACCAGTCTCCCCATACTGACAAACTCAAAAACTAACGAGCAAACCCCCAAAAAACTCTTCATCAATATAAAATGTCTCAGGCAGACGAGCATACAAAGATGGGCAAACATTGCACTAAAAATAATCTATAAACTATGCACAAAATAAAGTTAGAAACACTCGAACGGTGCAAATTAAAACGAATGACCACCACAGTAAAAAACTTTGAAAAAACGACCACAAGGGTTGCAATTGTACAAAATGTTACATAAGGGAGACCCAAGGCCCCCATTCAAGTAAACGAGCTTGTGTCCCTAAGGACCATGATTTTTTGGATCTTACATCAAAATGGGTGGAGCCCCTGAAACAAATTACAATAATACGACACGCAGACCGAAATAAAAAAAGCAACAACAAACTAATTAAACGTCAAGCTGAA